CTGATGTCATATTTATCATGTTTTTATTTTATTAGACGACTTTATTATGTTATAGTTTGTCCGATTGCGATAATTTAATTATACTTTTAACTTGCGCTGAAGATAGCACAAAAACGGGCCGAAACGTATGCTCATTGTATTTTTGTTTTTATATCTATTTATAATGTTAATATTAATTAACATTAATTTTTGTTTATTCGTCTTTTATCTTGTGGATCTTTTATTACTTGTAATTTAATAATATTAGTTATTTATTATTATTATTATTATTGTATTATTCAAATAATTATAGTTAAAGAATAAAAATCTTTAAAAATAAAAGTATTAACATTTCTCTGTAAAAATATTTCATTTATTTCACAGTAATTTTATGTAGGCAAATGTACATTAAAATTTCTCCAAATTTCTTCAAATCTCAAGTATAAAAAAATACTACTTACAAGGCGCATTGGACGAAAAGCTCTTACAGGGCTTAACTATATTCAATGAAGATTCACCACAAAAAAGGAGATCAAAATCGGTGAAGAGTTAGCTGCGACCTCTCCTTGTAAGTCGCATAAAACAAATTTACACTAAAGCAACGTATAAAAACTTGGCGTGCTCAGGTGCCATTAAAACATTTTATAAATATATACATTATTTTGATGTAATATATGTGAATGATAATATATATAGATAATATATATGTATTTATAAATTGAAATTTTAGTAGACTCGTAAATCATTATACACATGTTTCACCGACGAGATATCATTAAAGACCGGTGGTCCTATGGGATTTAGTGTGACTGGAAAAAAAGCTCGCAGCGCGTTATTTTAGTTCATCCAGTTATTGTTTTATTATCAAAAATGTTTTCAATCAAACGGCCGGTAGTGTCAACATTCTTCAATTACCTCCGGGCCCATCGGGCCCACTTGATGGTCACAAAATTTTACCCAGGGCTGACGGTCTCTAATAGTATCTCGTCGGTGACAATACTGAAACATGCTTCATCTATTTCAAGCAATGCATTCGCATCGAAACAAGAATTAACTACAATATGTTGATTTGCAATAAACATAATGCCACAGGCTTTGTCAAAATCTTATCAACAGCTTGAAAAATTCTTCTACTTACACTGAAAAATAAATGTATATTTATATATTATTCATAAGACATGCATTAACTTTACACAGACTGCATTTCACCAATGTTATTTATACTTATCTATAGTTACATATGATGCAAGACGAATAAATATATTTATCTTTTTTTTTTAATAATTTATAAATTTTTTTCATGGGTTAAGACTTAAAACTTAAGAATTTCATTTTTATGGAATTTTTCAGCCTTACGTCTTAAAATATGGCTGCCTTACTGTTCGATCGTGATTGGTCAATTCGCTTACTTCTTAAGTCTTAGGGTGCAAACCCATGGCAGTGGAAAAGCGTAACGCGGAACAGGAGCGGACCAATCGTGAGCGTAGCGAAAACTGCAGAACGCTCGCGATTGGTCATGCTCTCGTTCCGCGTTACGCTATTCCGCTGCATGAGTTCGCACCCTAAGACTTAAGACGTAAGCGAATTGACCAATCACGATCGAACAGTAAGGCAGCCATATTTTAAGACGTAAGGCTGAAAAATTCCATAAAAATGAAATTCTTAAGTTTTAAGTCTTACGGTGAACCAATGACAAAGAAGTTACTAGACATTGATTACGTTCTTAGAACATATATACCTGGAAGGGAAATGATGGATTGAGCCTGTGTCCAAGTTGGGTGCGAGAGAGAACTACGTTTTAAGAAAAGAGAAAGGCAGATTGTAACCTTGGTCTGCAATGCGCAAACGCGAATTAGCGAATAGCGTGAATAGCGTCATTGCTGTAGGAGGTTAGGGTTAGGAGATATCGGTGACATCGGTACGCAAAATTATTTTGATAAAAACTTATTTCATAGAAAAAGAAAATGCCAGGCCCATATTGTATCTTATGTGGTAAACGTGATAAATCGAGTGATATAAAGCAAAAAGATTTTATTAGACAGAAGTATTCAAAATTAGTACACTTTAAACATTAATAATATATCTCATATATCTCTTGTTATTTTGTTTAATAAAGTTTATCATTATTTGTCACTGTATGTACATTAATTATCACCTATTCGATCATCGTCAATTGTATCCCAATTAAAAATTACATTTTTATTTTCAAATGGCGCAGTGAGCGTGACGTGCGTTTGCGCATTGCAAGCAAAGGTTACAATCTACCTTTCTCTCTCGTACCCAACTTGGTCACAGATCTTTTCCACGAGAAGCATAGGCAATTCCCCTTCCAGGTATATATGTTTTAAGATTACGTTGCACTTCGATTTTCTCTTGAAGAAATAATAATATTAATCGAGTGTTATTTATTTTTTTTTATATGCAAGAAATTTTCCTGAGGAAATTATTATTAAACGAAAAAGAAGTAAGTTCGTTTTATATTAAATACAGTGATCAGATAATTTAGATATCTCAGATGTTAAATGAAGTGTAAGGATCTGAGGAAGCTGGGTGCTTTTGATTTCCTGCGGAATAAATGCTCGGCTTGTTATCTTAGATATGTATGGGTTTTATTACTTCAATTCCCTGTACACGGGCTTGCTCCGAAGCTCCTCAATATGGCGCTCGATCTTTCTCGAATACCTGGCCACGTGGCTTGCCGGCTTAACGTACTATGCTTATGTCGATCTCTCGTAAATTCTCAACTAATTAATTAACAAGCCAGAGGGGCCCGACCTGACCTCCTTCCGCGCTTTTAATCTTAAGCCCGACTTGGCTACTATTATTACTAATATAAAATCGACTAGCTTCGCACCTCACTTGCCTCTCTTTCTCTGATACCTTCTCTTAACCCGCTCTAAGACTTTCTAAGACGTACTGCCTTCCTCGAAGCACGCGGCTACCTCGTTTTATACGCGTAATTAGACATTCGATATTTATCGGATCTCATCGTGGCGCGTTCCTATTTGTCGCGCTCGGCAGTTTGATATCTCTCGAACCTGACTGATCTGCTTACCGGGTGTTCCGATTGAACACTCGTTAACGGGTGCTCCTAATTTTACCATCTATTCTAACGACCCTTACAGTTCGGCCAGCCTGACTTGTCGTTCGATCTCGAACGCTGTCGTACATTTATAATATCCCTTTACCTATCACCTTTCGAACAATTACAATTCTTATAACTAGTTAAATTCTTCAATAGACTTTGGTAGATACAAATACTGATATAATGTTCAGTCTTCGTCACAGCCTTCGATCTCATTTTCTATTTCTATTTCGGTTGAATCAAGATTACTTCCCACTCGTACCCACGGTTTTAATTTGTCACTAGAGAGTATCGCGTTATATGGTTTTTGAGTTCGATTATACCCTTCTTTATCCGCGACTACGTATCGGTTCTTTTTAAGTACCACTTTAATTACATATGGTCCTTTGTATTTTGGAAGTAATTTCTGATTCACCCCCCGCTTTATTGCTAAACTTCGTATCATTACAAGATCTCCTTCGCTATATAATGACGGCTTTTTGTGTCTTTTATCGTAATAAGTCTTATTGTACTCTTGCATTGTCTTATTCGCTAATTGTGCGCTATCACGCATCGCCGCTCGCTTTTCGCATATCTCGGCCTCAATTTCTGCTAGCTTATCTATAAATTCGCATAAATTTTTATCCTGATGTTTTCGCTGACTATACCCTAGTAATAGATTGCTCGGTGTCGTATTGACCGTTTTATTATAAGTATTGTTTAACACATATTGGACATCGTTCAAATTTCTTTCAATCTAACTTTCAATCAGCTTTCCAATCTAACAGATTGTTGGTAGTTTTCGCAAGCGTGCTCTTTATGAATCGATTCACCCGCTCGACCTGTCCGTTCGTCCACGGCGAAGCGACCGCTACTTTCACATGTTTCATTTTACACTTAGCCACGAACTTTTCAAAGTCTTGAGACGTGAAGCAAGTGCCTCTATCACTAACCACTCGTTGCGGCACACCAAAAATATTAAATAAAAATGAGAGATTCTTTTCCACTTCTCTCGTGTTTGTTGTTTTCGTAGGCATTAACCAGACGTATTTCGTGAACGCGTCGATTACTACTAATATATATTTATAACCTTCTGGCGAAGTTTCCAACAGCCCGAAATGGTCCATGTGTAACGTTTCAAAAGGACTAGTGCCTTTATCCACTATCTGCATTTCTCCCTCCATGTGTTGGTTGGATAGAGAGAATTGAAGACACGTAACGCAATTCTCGATATGCGACTTTATCTTCATTTTCATACATGGAAACCAATAGTGTTCCAGAATTCCTTTTAACGTATTTTCCGTTCCCACATGGCCCATTTCGTCGTGGTAAACTCGAATAATGTTCTCGGTCATCGTTTCCGGTACCACGAATAATGCTCGCTCATTATGCGTCCTAAAAAACATACCATTGATTAGCGTGAATTTCTTACTTCCTTTTAACTCGATCGTTTCAGCGAGTTTCGGATCTCTTAACTGTCTATACATTAGCTCATCCTCGTTTGTGAGCGTGTCTATCGTGTATACAGGGTGGTCCATTTCCAAAGTGTACCACGTGGAGGTTGCACGGTCGGATTTACACCTCTGTTGTGTGTGTGTTGTGTGTGTTGTGTTGTGTGTGTGTGTGTGTGTGTGTGTGTGTGTGTGTTATGCAGAAATCAGGACCCCGTGATTCGTCATTTTCACGGTATTTAATGACTCCAAACCCTCTCTGTCGTGTGTGTGTGTGCGTGTGTGTGTCAAATACGAAGGTTGACCTTGACTTTGATCTAGGGGTGAAATATGGAGGTCATTTGAAGGTCAACTTAAAAATTTTTTATGGAAACCCCTACTTTTGACATCAAAAATGAAAAGGGAGGAAAATTATTAAAAAATACCTTCAGCCGATTAAGGCAAGACCGGGACCGATCCAGCCGATTAAGTCAAAATTATCTAGTCAGAATTAGTTATTGTATGGCTTATGACCTTAACAAGTGTTCAAATACCTGTCCATTATTATCTATGCATAATTGAACTCGACGTTCAAAACTGTCAACTGTCGATAAAAGTATATTTTTCGGAATGCTTCGGCAGGCAATAGTTATGCGCTCCATCATATTCTCTCTTGTTGTGGGTGCTGTTGAGTATACAATGTTCTTCAGGTATCCCCATAAAAAGAAATCTAAATTTGTCAAGTCTGGAGACCTAGGACACCATGACACTGGTCCACCGCGTCCTATCCATCTACCTGGAAATTTGAGATCCAAGTGATGTCTAACTCTCCTACTCCAGTGTGCTGGAGCACCATCCTGTTGAAAGAACATGCGTAGTCTTGTTTCTAGATCGATATCTTCAAGCAATTCCGGCAATCGTTGTTGTACAAAGTGTAAATAATTATTACCATTAACATTTTCGTTAAAGAAATAAGGGCCAATAAGGTTTCCTTTTAGTATGCCACACCATACAATGAAGCTCCAGCGATGTTGGTGATTAACTTCTCGATACCAATGTGGATTTTCAACAGACCAATAGTGACAATTGTGCCGATTTAATTGTCCAGTGTTATGAAAAGTTGCATCGTCACTAAATAAAACAAATCTGAAAAATGTTCGATCACGATTCAACATTGTCTGTGCCCACCTACAAAATTCTAGTCTTCGTTGAGAATCGTCGAGTGTTAATAGTTGTGTCAGAGTAATATGGTATGGATGGAAGTTGTGAATGGCCAAGATCCTAAGAATTGTTGTTTTCGAAATACCTAATTCTCTTTCAATTTGCCTCGTTGACACGTGTGGATTAATACCTACCATTCCCAATACTGCAAGTATCATACATGTGGATCATTTCTTTCTGGTACGTTGATACGACGTCTTTGTTGTTTTTGACTTTGACGTTGCCGCTGACGTAATACAAGCTTGGAAATCGTATAATGATTCCGATGCTGTCTTTGAGGAAATCGATTACGGTACAATACCGCTGCTTGTCGATAATTATTATGGCATTCGCCAAGTACCAGCATAATGTCAACAATGTCGTTCGAAGTATAATCCGGCATTTTGCGTATATCTTGGCCAGCTGAAGAAGGGTACTAGTCACTAGCAATTACGCAAAATCCAAAACATGGTCCTTCGAGCCGGATAAAAAGACGAAAATAAAAAGATGTTGAACAAAACAGTACCTATTTTCTCTTACAAGCGGACGATCCAACAAGGGAAATTAGCTTGGAAGAAATCGAGGCGCGTGAGGGTCAGTTGGACCCAGTGATGCCAGAATGCCCACGCTAGCAACACGCAACCGTAGTGGAGGGGATACGCACACAAGCGAAAACCGTGTACATGTAATGTGCAGAACGCTCTGATGGAATCCGTCCTTTAAATCGAGAACCGTAAACACCTGTTTCCCTTGTAAGCTATTTATTTGGTCTTCTATAATCGGAGCTGGAAACTTCTGTTTATGAATTCTTTGATTTAGAGGATGAAGATCCACGCACATACGTGTTTTTCCATTTTTTTTCGTTATCGGTACGATTCTCGCGCAATAAGGAGAGCTATTATACTTTGCACAATTATTCCTCTCTCCAACAAATCATCGGTAATTTTTCGTAATTTTAATTTTTCGTTGTAAGACATTCGTCGAGGCGCGTACGCGTAAACTAAGTCATCTTTTATATTGACCCGGACTTGATAGTTATCTTTAACCGTTTCTATACGCATATCGTCTACCTCGGCGAAGGTTTCTAACAATTTCGTTCTTTCTTTTCAACCGATGCTTTCGTCTAGACTACTTAAAATTAGGTCGCTCCGATTTCGCGTCTCAATCGCGTTTATATTTAAAATTTCTTCGGATTCCGCACATCGGTTGTCCGTAATCTCACACTTCCAAATGTTCGGTTTGTGAGTGACTGTTAAATTATTACCACTGAAAAATGATCTACCTATTATCACAGCATATTTAATAGTCGCATCTAGTACTACATAGAGTCGCACTTTTAAATCGCGATCCAGATCGTCGATTCTCACTACTGTTTCAATTGTGCCTAATATTTCGATAGGCGTATTTCCGACCCCCGAAAACTTTTGACTCGACGTTAACGGTTCTAATTCTCTATTTTTTAAAAATTCCGCGTATTCTGTTTTTCTGATAAGGCTTATTGGACTACCCGAATCGACTAGAGCTTTTATTGTACATTTTTTATTGCTTATGCTAACTAAACGCACGTACGGTACCTCAAGTAAACGCTCGCTTTCGATAGTTGTGACGCTCTCCGGTTTTCGCTCTACCTTATTCCCCGCTTTCTGCTGTCCTGATGCTGCTGCCGACGGACACTGCGGTTTCGTATGTCCCGGTTGTTGGCAGTGGTAACAGATCACCTGGGGTGATCGGCAGTCCTTGGCGATGTGTCCCTTTCGTTGGCAATTACGCCACGTCACCGGCGTTGATCGGCAATCCCTGGCTAGGTGACCCTTTCGCTGACAGTTATGGCAAACGACATCCTTGCTTGTCGCCCTTGCTGCGCTGCTCCCGGACGGCCCCGAGGCCTGGGTTTTATACCCAGCGTTGGACGTAGTTACTGTGGCCTCTGTGATTCTCCGCATGTGCTCAATAAAGCTGGAGAGTTTTTCCAAACGGGCATCCATGGCGGCAACCTGGATCATCGGCAGCCTGATACCTGCCGCTATCAGATCGATTTGATCCTTCTCCGACAGATCTAGGAATTGCATAAGATTTAGTTTATCGTTCACATAGTCGATGAACTTTTCTCTCGAGTGCTGCCACACTCGCTCACTAATTTTCGCCATCGCTAGCGTAAACGAGATCTTCCGTTTGAAATATTCCTGTAGTCCTCTTTTAACCTCGGCCCATGAGGAAATCGTTGCGGTTGATTGGCGGTTGTACCAATCTATGGCATTCCCCGAAAGACGACCGGTAGCCGCTAACAGCAGAACATTCTCGCTTATTTCGTACAGGCTTCCGACGTACCCTACTCGCTCGAGCCATTTCCGCACGTTGTCCCTTTCGGAGCCTTCAAATATAGGTATTTGAGGAGATATTATTTTTACTATATTACCTCCGTTTAGTCGGCTGTTAGCGGAACCAGGTGTGCCCGATCTATCTCGCGTGAACGCCGCTCCTTATGCTTCCTCCTCGATCGGAGTAACTGACAGTCTCTCCTGCGACCTTGCGACTAGCGTCGCTAGCTGCTCCATTAACTTATTCTGCACCTGCATCTGCTGCTGGAAGCCCAATAGTAACGTTTGCATCACGTCCCCGCTGGCCGGCTGCGCTGCCGCTTGGGTGAACCCTGGAGTTGCTCCGACCTGGACGGGCGGCGTCCTCGATCCGTCTTCCGACCGCTGCGGCTTGCCCGCATCTCGAAGGCTCGTATTCCTGACGTAGTGGTCCAGGATACGGTCCACAAGTCTTTGGTGCGTTCTCTCCGCGTTTAACTCGAGAGAAACTGCTTCCTCCCGGAGCTGCTCGTCCGTCAACCCCATCAGACGGTCCTTTAACACCTCAAAACGGGCTGCTTACTTAGCTGCTTCTTTGGCTGCTTCTTTGGCTCAAGTCGGTGTTACGTCCTGGCGATTCCACGATTCCTTCCTTCCGCGAAGTGTCGGCAACGATCGTCGATTGGTGAGACAAACGAATCGCTCAGTAAACAGGGCATTGCACACAACTTCACTATCGAGTCGAATCCCTCTTCTGAATTTTAGAACTGTAAGGATCTGAGGAGGCTGGGTGCTTTTGATTTCCCGCGGAATAAATGCTCGGCTTGTTATCTTAGATATGTATGGGTTTTATTACTTCAATTCCCTGTACACGGGCTTGCTCCGAAGCTCCTCAATATGGCGCTCGATCTTTCTCAAATACCTGGCCACATGGTTTGCCGGCTTAACGTACTATGCTTATGTCGATCTCTCGTAAATCCGCAACTAATTAATTAACAAGCCGGAGGGGCCCGACCTGACCTCCGTCCGCGCTTTTAATCTTAAGCCCGACTTGGCTACTATTATTACTAATATAAAATCGACTAGCTTCGCACCTCACTTGCCTCTCTTTCTCTGATACCTTCTCTTAACCCGCTCTAAGACTTTCTAAGACGTACTGCCTTCCTCGAGGCACGCGGCTACCTCGTTTTATACTTGTAATTGGAGATTCGATATTTATCGGATCTCATCGTGGCGCGTTCCTATTTGTCGCGCTCGGCAGTTTGATATCTCTCGAACCTGACTGATCTGCTTACCGGGTGTTCCGATTGAACACTCGTTAACGGGTGCTTCTAATCTTACCATCTATTCTTACGACCCTGACAGAAGTTATAGATTACAGGTTACGTGTTATTTAACAAGAAAATTATTAAAAAATGGAGCACGCATATTATTCGCAAAATTTCCCGGATGATATGGATGATCAAGCCCATCAATTTGATGAAGGAAATGACAAACACAATGATGAACTATTGATCGATGCAGTTAGAGGATATCCTCATTTATATGACAGATCTTTAAAAGAGTATAAAGATATAAGAATGAAAGAGAATTCATGGAGGGAAATCGCATTATGGTAAAAATGCATAATAACGGACCCAGCTCCAATGACCTTGACCTTGACATATGTTGTCAAGGTCATGACTCTGAGTAACCTCCAAAAGGTTTTAGCCGTCGCTCGTTGCTTATTAAAAAGTTATTAACAAAAAAAGTTTGAAATATACCAAAGTACATGCACGGCAGGAAGCACGCGCACGCACGCGCACACACACGCACATGGGGGGGTTGCAAGGGGTGCCTTTGGCCCCCCTCCTGCACCCACCCCGCCGGTAGGCGTACTAATCTTCTACGTTTCGGTACTCGAGAATATCATTATCAACATTATATTGCTGAATTTTTATTTAAAAGACTCTATACTTTTGATAAGCGTATTGATGTTTTTTTTTAAATAATGAGCAAATTATATCTAATAAATAATTAATTCAACATACTTATATTTTATTTTTGAAATAACATATGTCAAGGTCAAGGTCATTGGGGCTGGATCCGTTATTATGCATTTTTACCATTATATTAAACGGAGAAAATAAGTTTTAAGTCACTATAACATATATAAACATCACATTATTTTATATATATGTATATACGGTACATACTAGCAAACAGATATATAATTATTATAGAACATATACGTTATATAACATGCAACGTATATGTTAGTTTTAATTTTCCACTCATGAATGTAATATTTGTAATATATTATGTTACATTGTTATATCTCATATAGCACAAATGGTTAGGTCATTTATTTATGCTATATAAGATATAATTACAATATAATAATACAAATGTTCTATTTATGAATGGGAAACTAACATGTACGTTGCATGTAACGTACATGTTAGATTATGTTATGTAACAGTTATATATTTATCCTTGCTGGGTAAACATCACATTGTTATATAAATATCATATTATTATATAATATTGGATGATTGCATAAGTTCGTGCCCGATTTTCATAGATGGCATTAAGTTACTGCATGGCGGAGTTCTATTGTTTTCGTGTGGTAATTGTTGCTTACACCGAATAGATGACGTTGTCTTATGTCAATTTAGCATCAGACATTGTTCAGATAAGTCCATTGGTGCATAAGAGTATATATATATATTAATTTTAAATTTCAGATCATATACCAATGTAGTTAATCCAGCTATTAAAAAAAGAGCAGTTGACATACCAAATGTTTATACCGATAAACACAATTCAGCTAAAAATGCTTCGTCACATCACTTTTTGGATACTTTTGGACATGCAGATTC